CAACACCAGCTGATGACATAGCCCCAAGTCATCACTGACTGTGGAAACAGCACACTGGACTTCAAGCAACATGGATTATGGGCCTCTCCACTCTTCCTTCAGACTCTGGGGCCTTTATTTCCAAATGACATGCAGAACTTACAGAACAACTGACCACTGAGCAACAGTCCTGCTCTTTTCCTCCCCAGATCAGGTTAGATAGATACTGGTGACCTTGTCTCTGGTTCGTGAGTGGCTTGACTTGAAAAATCCAATATTTGTTGCTCATGTCTAGGAGTTAATTAACTGATTGGGGTATGACACCAAGAGTTCACAACATTTAATCTCTTCACAGTATTTACATTTTTTGAGACACTAATTTTTTTTTCAATAAAAATTACTATCGCAATTAGAAGAAGTAAAGACATGAAATATTTGACTCTATGTGTAATTAATGTACAGAATGAATTTCACTTTCTGAAATGTGACGAGAAATTTGAACTTTTTCATGATATTACTTTTTTTTTTTTAGGTGCACCTGCAGTCTTTACATTGCCTTCATACTTAAACTGTAATCTTTCTTTCAGGGCTGGAATGCTACTAAGTGTAAGGTTTAATGGAATTTCCAGAGATGATGTAGACTGGATAGAACGGACTTCACAACAAAGTAAAAGTTAAGCGTGTTTATTTACAGCGAAAATTTTCAGCAATATGCACAGGGATAGGCTGGAACCCTTGGGAGCAAGGAGAAGGATCAGTATGAGTAACTTGAGGTAAGGTGAGTAATGATGCTTCTCTTTCTTCTAGGAGGATTTGTGGATTGTCGAAGGAGCAGGTGATCCAATGGTTCCAGGTAAAGTAGGTAAGTGGCTTGAAGGCGAGGAGACAGCTGAGGAAGTCACGAGGGAGCTCGAGGACATAGCGGGAACAGGAACAGGAAGGAAACAGAAGCAAATGTTGAAAACACGTAGGAGCACAAAGTAAGTTTATCTTTCATCAGATAGTGCAAAGTGGCCAACACAACTACCGTTAGGCATGTAATGCTCCAGTGGTGACCGAAGGTCTTCCGCAGCCTTTTGTACTCCTACAGCTCATCAAGGAGATGGTCCACAGGTGTGGTTTGTTGGTGCCATCTTGTGACTGCAGGAAGCTGACAGAGCTGAACTCCCACACCAGGATGTTTCAAGAATCAGACAGATTTTTCACCTCTCTAAGTCTGCTGCCAATGCCCAAGAATTCTGGGACAAATCCATGCAGGAGAAGCCAAGTTCTGGACGGAAGGCGGTGTGCCATACTTCTGCATGGGACTTCTACAATCAAAAAGACTTTAGGTTGAACTTTGTTGCATTTTTGGGCCTCTGGTAGCTTGACTGTTCCCAACAGATTGTATGTCATATCTTGAGACATGATTCTTGGTTCTTACGATCTCAGACATTTAACAGATTTAACAGATGACACATGAGGTATTAGTTAATCATTTACAGTTGAATTATCATTATTTATTCATTTTACAAGTGTTAATTGTCCTGTACGGTAAAATATAGTCATAGTATTTCTTTAATATTTTCCTCTAAAAATAACTGTAATTTAGCCTTTGTCTGTGTTTCCAGGATAAAACATTGTACAGTTGTGATCATGGATGACCTGATCACAGTGCACCATGAGCTGGGTAGAACTTGTCATTTTCTTAAAACTGCTGTTGTTTCCTCCAATTAAAAAAAACTGATAAAATTTGTTGCAAAACTGTCAAAAGGAATGGAAACTTTCTTTCACTGCTGGACGGATACCAGGAAGACTGACGCCTCCCTTAAAAAAGAGATTTGTGATCTCAATGGAACTTGCCTGGTTAGATAATAGTTAATAAACTGTTACAGGATTCAGATACATTTTTCACCCCTGGATCTGCTGCCAATGCCCAAGGACTTTTGGGACAAATCAATGTTGGAGAAGCCAAGTAGTGCATGAAAGGTGGGTGCCATGCTTCTGCATGGGACTTCTACAACTGAAAATACTTCAGGTTGAACTTTATTGCATTTTGTGGGGCTGCAGTAGCTTGGTAGTTACCTACTTGGCAGATTGTATATCATCTCTTGAAACACGATACTCAGTTCCTAATGTAATGTGTATAAAGTGTAATATATATATATTTAGACAACTATGGTTTAATACATGCACACACAATTCTAAAGGAGTAAAGATGAAATAATCTCAGACATCTTGTGACAAGAAATGAACAAAGCTGGCATTTATTGGACAATTTAAAATAACACCTTATAGTGCTTCTTATTTAAACCCTTTGGTAGGTTTTTTTTTTCAGTGCTTGTAATCAGTTTCTTGATTTTAGTGTCTTTGAATCCCCTTGATGGTAGATCGATGAACACTCTAACAGACATCACCATCTAGTGGCACCACCGCAACAAAACAAAAGAGAGCATTCACCATTCATGTAACTGTACGTCAAAACCACGTCGGTTACATTAAGATCTCTAACATCTCAGGACTTTTCTAATTTCTGGCCCTAATGTTCCTTTTTAATGATACAAGAGAATCATTTTTTGGAAATATATTTCCCACAAAGGAAATGTGCATGAATGTTTTATTCATAATTGTCTGAAAATGACAAAAGTGTCATAACTGAGACAATTTTTCTGTGCACTAAGGAACAATATCAAAATGTAATTGCTATAGTATCTGAGTTACTGCTACAAGTAACTGTTCCAATATTTTTGCAAACAAACCTTTCACCTGCCTTAAAAAGACAGTTCAGAAATTCTGTAATTCAGTAAAAATATACAATACACAGTTCATATCATCCTGGTTGTAGAATTGTTTCAGTTTGAAAAAATAATGTAAATAATTCAGAACTGATGTGCTGTTCTCTCTGTATAGTACAAATACTGCATCAGGCGCTTGTTGTCATCTTACCTCTCCTGAGAGACCCTTTCACTGTGAGTACATCAGAGTCTGTGACGCGCTTCAAAGGGATGCAGGTGACCCGAAACAATCTGCAGATTATTAAGCTGCAGAATATGACATTTACAAAGTGCCCTTGCTCGTTTGTCTCTATGTGGCCCTGTGATGGACCTGTCCAGGTTGTCCCCCATCTCTCGCACAGTGATGAATGGGCATGGGCACCAGTGACCCCTGTGACCCTAAAAAGAAAGAAGCGGGTAAAAGATAATGGATGGATCGATGGACCGATCTGCTCTATGGAGAGTCATTACCAGCAGCAAAACAGGTGGTGAGTCAGAGAGAGCTGGTCGCCCTTCACTTATGGAGGAGAGGACAATGACAGTTCAACTTACTGTCCTTGGAGGATGTCTGCTGGCACATTTTTCCTCACTCTGTTTTCTTTCACTTAAAACATGCATATAATAAAAATACCTGAATGAAATACTTTCAGATGGTGAGATTTGACAATGAATGAAATGTTTAATACGTTTCTGTTTAAGTTCTTGAAAGAAATTCAAAGTATGTTTTGCCTCAGTTTGAAAACAACTGAGATAATCTTTATGTGGACAAATTGTCTGTCATATTGAAAAGAAGTTCAGTAAGGTAAGAAGTAGAGCTGTCCTGATGCATGCTCAATTCAGTGTAGAGCTGTCATTTCAAATCCAAACCCGGAGCCCAGCCCGGCCGGAAATGGATTAGGGCCAGGCTGGGCTATAATAATGTGTGAGCCAGGCCGGTGTCGGGCTTTTGATTGTGTCAGCGGACGAGTGCGGTCAACAATCCAATTATATGACAACATGGCTTGCCATACTTTCACCTGCCTCATGCGGCTATTTGACCGTGCACTGACCGGCCTTGAAAGAGGTAAAAGAAAGTTCAATTAAAGTAAAGAAAGCCATTCAAACAAATGATACATCTTTGTTCTTCCTGTTAGAAGGTGGTGGTGTAATTTAAAAAAGATTCAGCTGCACTCAGTGAACGCACATGGCCGACGACCCAAACAGGTGAGATCCCAAAATATCGGACATGTCAGAGCAGGGTCCATGTCTGAATAATGCAGAATGCAGGCAGAAGTAGGGATTTAATGCTCTTTGACAGCCTTGAAAGGACAAACACCCCTTCAGCTCTAATCTTTCTCCCCCTCAGCCGCACACGTCCGCTGACCGTTAACTATATAAGCAGTCAAAGCTTAATTAAAAATGTTTCGGGTTCGGACCTGTAATTACTGTTGATTCGTCGGGTCGGGTGGGGTACAGAAATTATGGCTATGGGCTGGGGCCGGGTTGGGTTGGATTTTTTGGTACCAAATGTAACCCTAGTAAGAAAGTAATGGCCGACGTTGCTCCATTTAATCACAACAATATGACATAGATTTATTCGTAGACCAAAATTTAAATTGAAACTTTTTTTTTAAACAGTTCTGAAGTTTGTGAATCAATTAAGGTGAAGCTGTACAGAAAATGACTAGAGAGGAACATTTCCTCTTTCTTTTAAATGACTACATACCAACAGGTCTTGTGTGATCACATCACTTTTCTCAAAAACTCAAGCACAACATTTCAGAGGAGAAGTTAACAGAAAAACAGATAATAAATGAACAGAAAAACCGGAAAAATCTGATCTGTGCAACACTTCAAACAAAGTTAACTTCAAATAACACCAAGCAGGTTCAGTAAAATGATGCGCTGCAACAGTTTCCACGCTCAGTAAATTTATTACAGAAGCTTATGACAAGTGCTGGTGTCACTAGTTTTGAGCATGACTCACTAGGGGATGCTGTAATGCTGCATGGACATAATAAGGAAGACAAATTACCTAAACTATGGAAGAAAAAGACAGAAATCCATGTTTTAGCTTGTTCCTTTAGGAATGCAGCTGAGGTGTTGGGACATGTCAAAAGAATCCAGCTCCCTACCATAACATAAAGTGAGAAGATAGATTTCCTATCTTAGAAAATATAACTTCAGGCTCAGAGTTTGATGTTGGGTGCAGAAGAAACAGGTCGACCACTGCACACAGACTCGTTTAAACGCTTTTATTCATTTGATCCATCTCGACTGACCTGAGTGTCACGCTGTGCCCCCGTGGTTCACACTGGTGGTAAAACCAGGCATGACTGATAAAGTCTAAAAACGTGGGGGAGGAGGGGGAGGAGGAGGTGGAGGAGGGAGTGCAGTTCCTGACATAGGAGGAGGTGGAGGAGGTAATGCAGTTCCCGACATAGGAGGAGGTGGAGGTGGAGGAGGAGGGGGGAGTGCAGTTCCCGACACAGGAGGAGGTGGAGGAGGAGGCGGGAG